TTCGAACTAGGTGCGTTCTACTAAGTCACCCTGAAAACAAGGTCAAGATGCAAAAACGAGGTCAACTCACTTCTATAAATCGAAAGGACACTAATACCATACCGGGGGCCACACCATCTTGGCCTCCATATCTTTGAAGATATAGTTTATTTTTCGTTTAGAATTCTTCTATTTGCCCTTGTATACACAGAGTTCATTGGCCAATAAGTAAACAGTGTTTTGGCTATAGCTCAATCACACACATAGATTATCGTAATTATGAGATTCTTTTCTGTCCTACTACTGACACGGGCATCTATTTTTAAAACTTCAATTTTAACATTCACATCTCATGCTGGACTAACGAGTATTATATGCGAAAAATAGTTGGTTTTCGGAGAATCTATTCTTCCATTTCCAGTGAAAATGTCTGGTGAAGAGATTCGAAGGTTGATCCGAAGAGAAGACACAGCGAATTCCTCTTGACTTTGCGGGAACATTCTTTAGGACGCTGTTTCCAAGACATTCTCCTTCGATTCCGGTGAAAACGATTCATTATCTCGCATGGCGGGCGTACTAAGAACAGGTTATCATCATTACAGCCATATTCAGGAGGAATCCGCCATCGTCTTCTGGTGGGATATACCTTTGAATCTCTTCATCAACCGCTATCCATTAAAATTAAAGTAAACTCAACAACTAATGAGTATTGTCTCATCGATACCCAGAACCCCTTAGATTGGGGTTCATCTTGAACTTTTCTATTAAATGCCTATTTTGCTTCTTTTTGGTCAGCCAATGGCCCTCTACGCTCAAGTGAACTCACGCGCCATGCGCCTGAAGCTGACAAATTTGGCGCATATGGATCACCATTTGGCCGAAAGAGAGAATTGCCAATTTGATGAGACTACCCGAAAAGATTCGGCCACAAAAGCCACGGAGGTGAGCAGTGACACAAAGGATCAACTGGTCGAACTGTCGAGGGGAGACGCTCAAGTTACGCTAAGCAATGGGCAATTGGACAATAATATTACTTCTAGTATGTTTCTCGCCCCAACTTAGCATAGTTTTCGTGGTGATCTGCTAGAATGTGTTGAGGAAAAATGTTCTATTGGCTTTTGACACAACCATAATCTTACTTGGCCTTTATCATATTAAATTGCTAGGAGGGTCTAACCTGCCTTAAGCCTTTTCGATGACTATGCTTTTCGTAAGAGAATGAGGTTTTAGTAAAAGGTGTGAAGACCAAGATTCGGCAAACTGTATGCTACTGGGGCTCCTGCATCCTTTCGTATGAATGAGTTCATTGTTCATTTATCCTATTCCTTTCTTTCAAGATTTTTTGCAGTGCCTATTTGATTTTAACTGCTGGGTCTTTTGTTAATTGTCGATAAGCATTGTCCCAGAGAATATTTTCCATTTTCTCTATCTATTACCCCTTGTCCATCACCACCTTGGCACCTCCTTCGTCGCCTATAGGATTATTTAATCGTTCCTTTTCAATTCTCTATATATTTTGGTTTTATTGTCCCTATGTGTGGGTTCTTGATGCGTCAAGATTGTTGGGATGATTTCCATTTCCAGCTCTTTTTTTCGATTTTTCTGGTAGCTTCTCAGAGGCATTTATCACTCTTGGTAAGACCTGATTTCGAGACTATCAGTCAATCAGTTAATTAAGATGTATTTACACTATTTAATCACCTTAAATGATATAGGGGGAATATATTTCAACATGTTGGGGATTCTATATTTGCTCAATTATGTGCCTTTTAGGCGAGTATCCTTCCTTGGGCAGCTGATTTGTTGATCGTTCATGATTTATAATTATGCTACTTAAAGTAGTATGTTATACTACTACAAAATGTAGTATCATCAGGCGTTTATCATTGAACCAATTTTGCTTAACACTGCCCGAGAAATTCCTTACTAAGACTAGCCAACCTATATTCATAACGAACAAGGAGGCTTGTTGAATAACAACTGATTTTTTAGCTAATTTACTTACAGAAAATATTTTATAATTGATTTTAAAAACGAGAGATATTTAATCTGTCTTCACTATCATGTATATATATATAAATATATACCCGGCTGCCCTAGATATTTTTTCCAGACATATATCTAGTTTCCTTACTCATTCTATCTGAGAGAACGATCCTGTCTGAAGTACACGTCTTAAATTTGCATCCAACATAGCCAAAATTAAGTAGTATATGCGAAAAAAAATCACTAATTTGTGTTACCTTATTACGTTTGAACCATAGAGTCTTTCAATACTTATATCCACTAACAGAATCTAACTGGAGATGCTGGTAAGACATAGGCTAGGTTGGAACTGCATTCCACTTTGGATAACGACAAATTTTTGG